ATCTCACTGTATCAGTAGATTGCCTTGGTGTCCCAGCTCACAGCAACCTCAAACTCCTGGGCTCAAATGGTTCTCTTGCCTAAGCCTCCCAAGTAGCTGGGACCACAGGTGCCTGCCACAACAACCAGCCATTTTTTGTTGCAGTTGTCATTGTTGTTGACCAGGCCTGGATCAGGTTCGAACCCACCAACTTCAGTATATGTGGCTGGCACTGCAACCAGTGTGCTATGGGCGCCAAGCCAGAAAAGGGATTTATAGTCTTCTCAATGGAGCCTGTATTTCTACCTCTTCTGTTGCCTTGGTTTTGTGAATTTGTTTCTCTGGTGATTATTTCCTCAATATTTAAGTCTTTTTAATTTTTTTTATTTTTTATTATTTTTGTGACAGAGTCTCACTTTGTCACCCTCAGTAGAGTACTATGGCATCACAGCTCACAGCAACCTCAAACTCTTAGGCTTAAACAATTCTCTTGCCTCAGCTCCCAAGTGACTGGGACTGCAGGTGCCCACCACAACGCCTGGCTTTCTTTTTTTTAGAGATGAGGTCTTGCTGTGGCTCAGGCTGGTTTCAAACTCCTGAGCTTAGGCATTCCACCTGCACCTGCCTCAGCCTCCCAGAGTGGTAGGATTACAGGCGTGAGCCACCAAGCCAGGCCAATTTTTTCTTAATCTACCCATGATAGCACTTTAATGTTTAAATCTTAATTGGCATTATATAGTATAACTTATTAAATGTCTAAACCTATTTGCCTTTCTCCTAACAAGGACATAAGTATTCTGTTACCTCTGGGATTTATTTCATCCTAGTTATTTCCCTGTAGCCTTTTTTTTTTTTTTTGGTGGGGGGGGAGGCTCATACTTTCATATTCAGTTATTTGTCACTGTTTTTAACCTTCAGTTTTCTTACACTGGCCTGTCTTTCCTGCTGTTTCCAGACTGCTTTTTTATATGTTGCTCTTCTCAGGTTAGTTCTTCCACTTAACAACCTGAAGTAAGTTTATCTAGTCTTTCAATGCCATTTGTGCTTAGTTGGTTTTGGTGATAGAAATCAAGTGTTTTTGTTTTTTTGTTTTTTTGTTTTTTTTATTGAGACAGAGTCTCAAGCTATCACTCTGGGTGGAGTGTCATGGCATCACAGCTCACAGCAACCTCCAACTCCTGGGCTCAAGTGAGTCTCTTGCCTCCGCCTCCCAAGTAGCTGGGACCACAGGCATCTACCACAGCGCCCAGCTATTTTTTTTTTGGTTGCAGCCGTCATTGTTGTTTGGCAGGCCTGGGCTGGATTCAAACCCGCCACCTTAGGTGTATGTGGCTGGCACCTTAGCCACTTGAGCCACAGGTGCTGAGCCAGAAATCAAGTGTTCTGAAAGTTTTCTAGTTATTCCTGATTACTCGAAACAATTTTTTTCTGAAATGGGCTGTATTTTAGCATTGCTTGGTTATTTAATTTAGTTTGTGTTTTAACTGCTGGGCTTTTTCTTCCTAATTACATGCTTTAAAGTTTTGTGATCACTGTTTTTTTTTTTTTCCTGGAGACAAAGTCTTACTATGTCGTCCTCTTCTAGTCTTAGCCTCCCCAGGAGCTAGGACTATAGCTGCCTGCCATATAACCTGGGTAAATTTTTGGTTTTGGTGGAGATGGGGGGTCTTGCTCTTGCTCAGGCAGGTCTTAAACTCCTGAACTCAAGCAGTCCACCCACCTTAGCCTCCCACAGTTTACAGGTAAGATTACAGGTATGAGCCACAGCACCAGCTTGGTTTTGTTTGTTGTTATTGTTTTCTTTCTTTGTTGTTGTTATTTTTGAGACAGATTCCACTGTGTTGTTCTAGGTAGAGTGCCATAGCGTCACAGCTCACAGCAACCTCAAACTCTTGGGCTTAAGCAATTCTCTTCCCAGCTTCTCAAGTAGCTGGGACTATAGGAGCCCGCCATAACACCTGGCTATTTTTTTGTTGCGTTTGTTTACCTGGCCTGGGTTTAAACCCACCACCCTCCATGTATGTGGCTGACGTCGTAACCACTGTGCTACAGGCACTGAGCCTTTTGGTTTTTTTGTTTTGTTTTGTTTTTTGAGACATAGTCTCACTTTATCACCCTTGGTACGAGTGTGGTGGAGTGACAGCTCACAGCAACCTCAAACTCTTGGGGTTAAGTGATTCTCTTGTCTCAGCCTTCCAAGTAGCTGGGACTACAGGTGCCTGCCACAACGCCTGGCTATATTTTGGTTATAGTTGTTACTATTGTTTGGCAGGCCTGGGCTAGGTTTGAACTCTCCAGCCTTGGTGTATGTGGCTGGTGTTGTAACCACTGTACTACGGGCACTGAGCCTATTGTTACTATTTTTTATTAAACATTTTTAAACAGAAAAAGTGGTGGTATCGTGACAAATGGACTAGGCTCTAACTTACTGACTAGTTCTGTATGATGAATATAAAGCATGGAAGGTTTGAGGAGACTGGAGAAGATGCGTGTCCAGGAGAGCAGTAATGTAGATGGACTAAGAAAACACACTGTGATTATTAGGCAGTGTTGAGGACCTATTGAGGTGCCTGGAAGTGAATTTGAGACCACTTAGTCTTCTTTTATCTTTTTTTTTTTTTTTTTGGAGATTTTTTTCTTTGTTGCCCTTAGTAGAGTGCCATGGCATTGTAGCTCATAGCAACCTTACACTCTTGGGCTCAGGTGATCCTCCTGCCTCAGCCTCCCAGGTAGCTGGGACTGTAAGCATCCTCCGTAACAACCAGCTTTTTTTTTTTTTTTTGAGTCAGAGTCTCACTATGTTGCCCTCGGTAGAGTACCATACCATGGTGTCACAGCTCACAGCAGCCTCAACTCTTGAGCTCTAGAGATTCTCTTGCCTTAGCCTCCCAAGTAGCTAGGACTACAACACACCCACCACAATGCCCAGCTATTTTTTGTTGCAGTTGTAATTGTTTAACCGACCTTCTGTGCATGTGGCTGGCACCATAACCACTGTGCTACGGCTGCCAAGCCACGCCCAGCTATTGTTAGAGACAGGGTCTCTCTCTTGCTCAGGCTGGTCTTGAACCCGTGACCTCAGGCAATCCACCCTCCTTGGCCTCCCATAGTGCTAGGATTATAGATGTGAGCCACTGTGCCCAGCCTCCCAACTATTTTTTAGAGACAGGGTCTCACTCTTGCTCAAGCTGGTGTCAAACTCCTAAGCTCACATGATTGATTCTCCTTGGCTTTTAGAGATTCAGGATTACAGGTGTTAGCCACCATGCCCGGCCTTTTTGTTGTATTTTTAATTCTAGCCAAGTTTAAGCTGAACAGGCCAGGAGTTAAATTCATATGAGTCAATCAGGGTTATAGTTTTTCCAAGTAAATGTAATAGAACAAGAGAGGCAAAGAAATTATAGGTTGATGTGAGATTGATAATCAGATTGATTCAAATTTATCTAGGTAAAGGAAAAGGAGGTGAGTATAGTAATCTCCAGTAGTATTGGAGAATCTGGAGAGAGTGAATTTGAGAAATATGTGGGTATGTTCAAAGACAATTATATGAAATTAATGAGGATTTAGAGAGCTTATAGTTAATAATAATTTATTCATGGGAATTAGTTCTTGAAGTATGGGGAGAGGACAGAGAAGAGTTTAACCCTAGTAGGCCAAAGGTAGGAAGTTTCCTTGTCTGAGAGCAGTGTTGATGTTGTTACTATTGTATGGGTACTTTTTTTTTTTTCTGAGACAGAGTTTTATTATGTCACCCTCAGTAGAGTGCTATGGAGTCACAGGTCACAGCAACCTCAAACTCTTGGGCTTAAGCGATTCTCTTGCTTCAGCCTCCCAAGTAGCTGGGACTACAGGTACCTACCACAACACCTGGCTATTTTTTTGTTACAGTTGTTTAGCTGGCCTGAACCCAGGCTTGAACCCACCACACTCAGTGTCTGTGGTTGGCACCGTAACCACTGTGCTATAGGCACTGAGCCCTATATGGGTACTTTCAATAGGAAAATATTCCTCAGGTTTAAGGCAAAAATATTTAAACATTATACTTTCAACGTAAGAGTACAGGATGCCCTGGAGCAGAACAAACATTGAGAGGATGAAAGTCCAATCTTACTTCAATTTTTTAAGAGTCTCTCACTTTGTTGCCCTCTAGAGTGCTGTAGCATCACAGCTCACAGCAACCTCCAGCTCTTAGGCTTAGGCAGTTCTCTTGCTTCAGCCTCCTGAGTAGCTGGGACTACAGGCACACACCACAGTGCCCAGCTATTTTTTTTGTTACAGTTTGGCTGGGGCCGGGTTCAAACCTGCCACCCTTGGCATGGGGGGCCGGCGCCCTACTCACTGAGCCACCGGCGCCACCTTAGGTACTTTAAAAACTCCTCAGATAGTCGATATCCTTAATCTAGGATCCATGGATGGGCTTTCTGAAATTGTTTGCATAGTTTTTGTATGTCGTTTCTAGGGGAAGAGTTTACAGATTTCATTAAAATATTTCAGGACCACTAATGTATATATAAACAGAACTAAGTGCATAGCAAAAATGTGTAATATTGGGGTATATATTTTTAAGTATGGTTATCAAGAGAATTTTATATTGATTTTTCAGGAACACAGTGTTTATGATGAGAAATGAATATGTAGTTTTATTTGAATAGCTAGGGAAGAGGGCCTTTAAGATGCTTAAATATTGGCTCAGTGCCTGTGGCTCAAGCGGCTGAGGTGCCAGCCACATACACCTAAGGTGGCGGGTTCGAATCCCCAGCCCGGGCCCGCCAAACAACAATGA